TTACTAGTAGAAATGTGTGGTACATGCTGGTATTGGCAGTGTCACTGTGAGTGTGTTTCAGTGTGTTCAGGGGCAACACAAGGGTATTTCATCCTTTGGTTAGTCTTCCCTGCAGTGCGAGGTGCTCCTGAGAAGTGGTAGCAGATAACATCTCAAAGCGTGTCACATCAGAAAAAAAAAAAATCAGCTCTGGTTCTTCTCATTTCTGTAGTACTCAGTATCTCAGTTTCAATGTCCTGAATAGCTGCTGCTTCATCCCATTATCTGAAGTAACTGCTATTTGCATAACTGACCAATTTGACATTTGGGGTTTGGAAGAGGGGGTGTTTCTATAGTGCAGGGCTTGTTCTGTGCTTCTGAAGAAGCAACAGTGCCTACAGGTGATATCTTGTAGTTCACATGTGCTGGCACTTGGGTCCATTAATAGAAGTCTCCAAAATTCAGAAGTAGAAACACAGGCTATGTGAGAAACACAAATGGAACTGAAAAAACAAGTACATTATTTAACGTTGCTTACATGTGAAGAGGAAGATATGGTGAAAGATTAAGAGATAAAAATGTTTTCTTTGTTTAAACAAGTGAACAAAGCTGAGAATATGTCAGGGTTTGTTTCTTTCTCCAGAGTTTTCAAATTATCTTTCTTTCCTGGAGTTTTGCTCTCTTCACCAGAAATGCTCACAGTTTGAGTAAACTCCAAGAGTTAACTTCCAAGTCCTTCAAACAAAATCCTTGTGGTTTTTGGGGAGTTTGCTTGGTTTTTTTGTAGTGCTGGGTTTTTTTGTTTGTTTCAAAGGTTAAAAGAGAGCTTCTTTTAAAGTGAAGACTTAAAAGAGTAATGGAAATAAAGCTTTTTTTCATACCACAGTGCACATGCATGAACTGAGAGCATGGCTAACTGGAAATTGTTTACATGTCCTAGCAGGCCATAACACACTGATGTTGACAGTATTTTGGAGTAACTCGTTCTTTATTTACTACCATTGTAAACATCTCTTTCTATTACACAGACATCACAGTTTACATTATTGCTTTTATACTGTGGTAAACAGAAATTTCTATTAGTATGCAGCTATCTAAGCACAGTGTGATAAGAAGAAACTACCCACAAGCTGTCTGGGGCTGTTCTTTTTCTCTTCCCTAGAGAAAGACAATATACAGACTGGCACAAGAAACATCTCTCCAAAGAGTGAACACCATTGTACTACAGCAACACAAAACAAGTGTGACAGAAAGAAACAACAGATTACATCTTTACCATGCTTTCACTAGCATTATTTTCAAGAATACTCACTGCTGAACTCTCACCTAACTAAATACAAACTTTTTCATCATGATAATTCTTAAAACAAGTCTAACCAATATTTTTTTGTAAAATGCTTTTTAAACTAGGATGGAAAATCTGGAAAATGAACTCATGGGGCTTTGTGTGTGTTTGGGTTTTTTGTTTGCATTTGTTTTGTTTTTCAGAGTGAGAATCCAAAACTGTTTATCTGAAGTGCTTAAATTGACCCCTTTTCCTATTGTCCTTCAGGACAAAATGCCCTGTTCCTTACATTGTGTATCAGATGACAGAAGCACAACCAGTTTAAAAACATTCTCAGCTTCTTTCTTCAGAAAGCACTGTCTTCAAATCAATCTCCAGTCAAGTTGGTTGCTTATGAAGCAATGTGTTTACTTAGTGAGAGTTTACTTTTGCTTACGGTAAACTTCAGATTAGTTTGTTCATAGAGTTGCACCATGTTTCAAGAATACACTAAACAACAGAAGTGGAGGTAGTTTGTTAAACAGTTGCTACAGGAACAACAGCAAAAAAATTAGAGAACCACCTTGTCTTCAAATATTTTTTTTCTGAAAATGCTACTGCATATAAACTTCCACACAGTGAATGCTTTAGAGAGGCAGCAAGTTAGAAAACTAACGGTATTTGCAAATTCTAGTAAGATAATACATAGTTTAAAACATGACAGTTAATAAATAAAGAGAATTTACCAAAGTTTTAAGACTCTTAGAATGAACCATGAGCAACAAATTCTGATGTTAAACAAATTGATTATATCAACTTGCAGAAAGGTGGCTACCTCCATTCTGAATCTTCTATAACCTTAGGATTGTCGCTCTAGAACAGAGTTAGTATAGAGTACCACTAAGTAGTAAAACACTGTACTTCCCATCCCTAAACACAGTTTTACCTTTTTTTCCATATATTTTCTAGCTACCACCATAACACAATTATCCTACCACAGGTACAAAACAAGGAGACCCTGTACTAGCCTACCTATAGCGAGTGGCTACTAGATGGAAGGACTGGGCTACTTCATCGTGCAAACCTACATATGAATTCTAACTGTTTACTGGAAAGGTGTGGTGGAGCCTAACATAAACATTCACCTTAATTACTACCTGCAGGTTCATGTATTCCCACATTATCTCACTCATCTGAGGATAGCTGGGTTTACTTTGACTTAAAAAATCAAAACTCATGAAGATGCATCTCACCGCCAGGGTCTATCTATGTTCTGCTCCAAAATGTCTAGGTCTGTAAAAGGAAATCTGAAACTTGATGATTGGGCTTTAAAAGCCTCAGCAGTCGTTACATGTCACTCCCTTGGTCGAGAAGGTGCCGAGTTAAAGTTTCAAGTCGGGTAAGAGGAAGGTGTACATTGTTTTTGCAACTCTTGCCAAAAAGAAACTGTGGACTCTAGGACAGGGGAGGTTTTAGAGAGATGGATACAGCAATTTTGTACTTGCTGGCAAGCAGTGGATGAAAATAAAGCATGGGATCTCCTTTGCTGTGGCTGCTAAACACACTGGGGTAACAGCTGCAAATCAGTCAGTCTTGTGTTGCTTGCAAAGGAGATCTACAAGCAATAGCAAAGATATTAATGAAGGAAACATGACAGAAGCTGGGGCTAGAAAGTATAGATGACTAAGTAAGGTCTCAGCCACTGGGAAAGAG